TCTGTTTTCCTCTAAATAAGATCATAACATAGTAACCATTGAAACCGCGACTCTGCACTAATTCCGTGTCATAATGAATGATTTCCAAAAAGTAGTAGTACTACTTACAGTCTGTCAAATGTTGGTCCATGTTGGGAACCCTCTTCACCAGCAAACTGAAAGAGACAAATGAACAACGATGAATAATAACACAACATATTTAATTAAACCAATAACAATAACACACAGCAGCTTCCAAACATGACACAGTAACACTGTACGGAACGTGGTACCACCCCGACAGAGTCTCACGTACAGGAAAAGGAAATAACTGTCACCATTAGTCGTCTGAGAGGAAAGATGTTTATCACGCTTTCTGTGATCTTTCGCAGCCCACGAGAACCACCCACTGACACCAGATAGTCAGCGTGGACCGCTGACGGTCACAGCTGTGGCATTTCCACTGACGAAGAAAAAAAAACACAGACGATTGAATGACCCGCTCACCCCGCAACCTTGACCATCTTGGGTTCAAAGGTCTCCACATGCTTCAGAAGGGCCTTCATGGTCTTTCCTGTGTCAACGATGGCCTGAGGGATGGGAAGAGCAAAGGGAAAGGAGAGGAGAGGATGAAGGGGTGGAGGTGCTGGGAACCTTCAAAGATCCACAGATTTCTGTCTAAAGATTCGTTCCTGTGTTGGTATTTTCTTTTGTTGACAGTTGTGTTTAAACTGTAGGAAATCCTAAAGAGACAAAAATGTGTTGGTTTTTTTTCTATTCTTTTAAACCAGAAACAAGTTAAAAAAAATATTGGAATATAAGGGGTTTATGAAGGCAGCTAGTTGAATAGCAACAAATGATTAAGAAAGAAGTTTAAAAAAGTAGGAAGTTTAGTTGGTTAATTAGGTAAAGAAAGTCAGAAACCTCTCTTTATACAAATAACAAAACTATTTCTCGACATCTCCTCCATTTAAGTCTAAAAACATCTGCAGTGGCGTTTCAGTCAGAGCTCCATTTTTGTAGAATTCTGGAAGATGTCCTTGACACCAGGTCACAAACACTATATCATTAGAGGGAGCCAGAGTCCCATCAGGTAGGTAAATTGTTTTAAAGGTAGATGAAGGTCAACCAAAGTTCACTCACCTCAACAATGAGCACGCACTGGGTGACATACAAACAGAGAAAAAGAAAACACAACATGATGAAGTGACTCATTGTTCTCGTAAATAAATCCAACTAAATGAGCAGAAGTGACCACTAGGTGTTCAACATTTAACCTGTGACATCACCTGAACATACGATACTGGCACCTAGCCTTAAGCCTGAGCTGAGTCAGCGAATTCCTTTGTGTAAGACTTTCACCAGAACAATGGGTCATCATTCAGTAATCTGGAAACAGATGAACTTTTGTGGGAGGTTTGATGCTGATACTCCATCTGAGGGAGGGAGGTGAACCACAGCCTGAGCTTATGGACTGACTCATGTTTCGGGTACCAGGTTCCTGCCTCTCTGACCTTCACACACTCAGCTAAAAGAATGTGTCAGACAGTGAGGTGAAGAAAATTCTAGATCCTTCGCAAAATGAAGTTTCTGTTTTATTCTTAGACGTTTAAATCCGTTGCAGAATGAGCAGAAAGAGTGAAGTTTCTGTTTTATTCTTAGACGT